ATAAGTGTCTCTGTCAGACTCTTCAATGAGTGTATTCAGTTCTTTGATTACACTTTCTCAAGATATTTGCACAGAACATTCAATTTCTTTACTGATAAGTTGTAAAGAGGTCTGTACAGCATCATTATACTATCTTCAAGATGAATCTTATATCACATCTTGATGTCAGAAAACTTTACTGCTTTTCTTTCTAAAAAGACATTCTTATAATCTGTAAAGAGACATCATATTCATTTATCTTCAATGACAGATACTGCTGCTAATCTTGCAGTGAGAATGATAACTTCTTCATCTATTCTCAAGTCTCAGTCATCTGCTACACAGTATATCAACTCTATCTTTTTCTCAAGATTCTTGAAAATGAAACTCTTCAGATTTCTCTATCACTGTCTCTTTATTAGTGAGACAGTACTATCATATCTAGACTGACCGTGTGACCGTGTCTGGGACCAGGACCAAACTTTACAGTTGTCATGTTGCCTAAAAGCATTACTCCTGGTCATGGTTTGTGTTCATCACATTGATTCCAAATCATGTTATTTCAAATATTAAAGATCCCAGATTCACTTTTCAAATAAAAATCTAGTCTCAGATAAAGAATATGTTTGAATTCTTAGTCACATTTTCATTCTGATCTCATTATTGAAAATGGCATCAAATGAGATCATGAAATCATTTCTCACTCACATAATATCATAACATAGTACTCATTTGTTGAAAATTCAACAGAGAGTGTTACTAAATATTATTACTTTTCTGAATACAGATTATAATTGATATCATTTTAATTAAAAAAAAATATAAAATACAAAAAAAAACAAAAAAACAAAAAATAAAACAACAATAAGAAAAAATCACAACAAAAAAAAAAAAAAAAAGAGAAAGAAAAAAAGAAGAGAAAGAAAAAAAGAGAAAGAAAGAGAAAGAAAAAAATAAAAAACAAAAACAAAAAAAATCAAGATCACAGAGCTGCAGCACTCTCAAAATAATCACTTCTCAGAGTCTTTACAATGTTTATCATCAACTGTGTATCTCTCATAGTGAGAGTAACACAGCTGTGATGAGTCAATATCTTAATATCATCTAATAAATAATCAGTATATATCTGTATAAATGTGAATAATTAGAAAACATACACTTAAAAAGTGTGATCAGAGTGAACTCTGCTATTACTTGAATAATATCAAGAATAGAATACTGAAATTGATGATTTTCTTCATCAATTTCCAGACAAGGTATGTAAAGATGATCTTGAGAAATATAAGATTCTCTGACTTCTGGTAAAAATGAATCTCATGAAGAGACTCTATTTTCATCATATCAGAGACTGAGTGTTATCAAAAAGTATTACTTCAATGCACATGCACTTACTGCAGTGATTCATCCTCTACACATGTGACTGAGAGTTACAGCTTTCTCACGCTGCACAGCTCTCTCTGAGATGCTGTCACTGATTTGCAACTCACACAGTCTCTCAGTTCAGCATGCACTGCACATATACAGCCCTGCATACTGAAGCTGTGTTGATCATTATGGCCTGGCGTGGTACTTGCTTTTCACAGGCCATGTTTCATTTGATTGAGGAGGGGGGGGGATGTGACTGCTGTTTTATTTAAGAGGGAATGAGTAATTGAATCTGTAGAAGATAATTTGGTTTCTTCTGCATTTGAAATTTGATTAGTCTATACTCTTTAATTTGAGAGTTTCTGAGAGTGTTTTAATAGTTTTCATACCAGCTTGAAATTAGTGATTGATTGAAGAAGAGAAAAGAGAGAAGAAAGAAATGAGAACAACTTATCTTTATAATATGAAAACAGAGAATTGCTGTAATCATTTGTCCTAGCAACAAAGATCTGTTTTCTGCATGTATCTCTGATACAGATTATATGATAACTGTATATAAAGAATATCAACAGTGCATGCATTGAATGAAGATAATGTTGCTATACAACACTGTAGCTGTTTTTATACATCTCTGAAAGCTGTTAATATTTTCTTTGAGTCTCTTTATATTTGATAAGTCAGTAATATATTTCAATGCACTCTCTCTTTCATTATCATCATTATTATCATCATCATCATTATCATCACTATCATCACTATTATTATCATCATCATCATCATCATCATCATCATCATTATATCATTTCTGACTGCCTCTTCTGCCTTCATCTCTCTTCAATACTCACTGAAACCAATCATGTCATTCTTCTTCAAATATTCTGCAGTCCTGTGGACCACCAAGGCGTGTGAGTGCTGTCACAGATTGAAGAGAGAGAAGAAGAAGGCATTTAAGCAAGAGGAGACAGATTGCAAGATATGTTATAATGTCTTGAAGAGACTCTGTAAGAAAGCAGAATGATAATGATTTTAAGTAACACTTATGATAGATTTAGACTGAACTAAGTATAGAAATAATGTGAATAACACTACCTGTGAGAGATTGAAGAAGAAGACAGTGAAGAGTCTCATACAGTAGTGATAAGACCAGGAGAAGTTCTGAGAATGATTTAAGATCAAGATGAAGAGAGAGAGAGAGAAGAAGAGTGTTACTGTAAATAAGTAATAACAGAAGAAGATTGAGAGAGTGTTGAAGTGAGAGACAAAAAAGTCAAAACTGATAAGTTTTTTATTTATTAAGAGATAATGATTTTTAATAACACTTCTGTTCTCTAATTGATTAGCAGAAGCTGACAGAGAAGGAGGGAATTGAGACCTTGTTCAGGTCTTGAATGTGCTTCATAATTCAGAACATTGAGAAGACAGTTCTACTCTCTGAGCATGTCAATCTGCTTGCTGCTGAGATGGAACTCGAGGCAGCAGATCAGGAAATACAGGATTTTGAGACACAGATTGATCTGACTGAGAGAGAGCAGTGAGAACTCTTCTCTGAGAAGACAGTGAAGAGAGATTTTAAGATGATTATCATCTCAGATAAGGAGAAGAAGAAGAAGAAGAAGAATGAGAAGTAAATTATGAAGAATGATAAGAAGAATGAGAAAGAGAAGAAAGATAATAAGTAGAAAAAGTTTTTTTCTTTTTATATTAGTTAGTTGTAAGTTCATAATTATTAATAATTAAAATTAATTTTGAGTTTTCAAAAATTATTGTACAAGTTGTAATCAAGTCAGGAATAATATATATATATATATATATTTAATTATCATGATTCACAAATCACTATAATGTATAAGTATCAACATTTTTTCAACATTGATATTCACAATATTAATATATTTTTAATGATATTATCTAATAACATAATTTGATAACACTCTCTTTCACAATATTAATATATTTCAAGAAATGTGATAGAGATTAATCAAGATTATTTGTTTACTTTTATACATTGATGATATTCAATCTGAGTTAGTACTAAAATTATAACTAAGCTAAGAAACAAGATTATTTTCTCTTATATTAATTCTTCTTACACATATCAGTGATTAGTTATTGAAAATAAATTATTATCTTTCTTAAATTATTATCATATCTTCTGAATTCACTTCTTTCATTTCTTTTACTTCTATTGAAGATTCATAAACTCTTCAAGAAATCACTGTGAATTACAAAGTCTATGTTATTTATGATTCAACACAGAATACTCTCTTTTAATTATGATGAATGACTACTTCATTCTTCACATCTGATTCCAGGTCATGAAATTTATGAAAAACTCAACACAAACACTGAGATAAACTATGAAATAATTATCAACAGGTTGTATTGCAGATTACTGAAGAGTCATCTCTCTGCTACAATCACTGCAACTTCATTCAGAAACATTCATCATAAACTGATCATAACTCTGAAGAAATTTTCTGACATCTGAAGTCATCAGAATGCAGACAACAAAAGAAAAATAATCAGAAAATTACTACTGAGCTGGTAAGTTACTTTATCAGATAATAATTTTTAATAATGCTAACTTTCTAATTTGAAGAAAATCATGTGAAAATGATTATGTATCAGTACTCTGATTTCATAACTTCTGTGACGTGATGGAACCGAAGCGGTGGCTAGTCAGTGATGTCATATAGAGATAGTTATTTGAGAAGCTGTATGAGTGAGCTTGACTATCTTACTTGAATAGTGAGCTTGTAGACTACAGAGTTATTGCAAGAATATCACAGATATAATACTTAGTATACTAAGAAGATTGTATAAGAAACACAGTAACTCTTGTATATCTTTCAGTAGAAGAAAAATGAATTACTGACTTCTTTGATAAGAAGTCAGTATCTAGCTATTCTATATAGATAATAAGTGAATACCCTTCTTTCATTCTATGAGTGAGAATAGTCAGAGTGATATCTCAGTGATGTCTCACTGTTAAGAAAGAGTAATCTGCTGATCTTGTATAGAAGCAGAATTCTTATATTCATCAATTGAATCTTTCTATGATATATCTGAATGATATTATAGAGTAATTGAAAACCAGTTCAGACAGAATGAAATCATTCACATGAAAGCAATAAGCTGTGTGAAACTGCAGCAGAGTCTTGATATGACTGAGAGTATGACAATGTCCTTCTCTTTAAGAGCATAGTTCTGATACTCTCAAGATTACTGAATTGAGAGTTATCTTTATTATATAGCAATGATTATTAACTGATTGACAGTGTGTATGCTGTATGTAATATAAAGAAATAGATGAGTTTTTCTGCTAACTGTATAGGTCTTTCTTTTCTCATCTTTGTTCAAATCAAACATATGATAAGTGAGTTCCTTATATATTGATTTAAGATGTGAAAAATGTAGTTAATAAGTGACTTACAGATCTCTCATCATATTCTGTTCTATATATGAAATTCTCTGTAAAAGTGATGTGTTTTAGAGACAAAGCTAACAGTAGTGATAGGATTTTTTGAAAAGATTCTTCTTCTCTATAACACATTTTTCTTTTCTTCTCTCTCAATTGTAACAGTGAGTGTATGAGAGTATTGTTCTTGAAAGATAATAAAGGGCTTATTCTGATGTTTTCTAGTGATTAAACATCTTCATGGTGCGGCTGCGGCCTCCATGACTGTCAAGAAAGCCAGGTTGAAGACAGAGATGATGGTGTCAATGAGCTGCAGGAGCACCACTTCCATTGCCACATCTTCTCCCTCTCCTGCATCTCTTGCAGCCGCAGTGGTAGTAGCCGCGCCTTGCAGTGGGGTGTCATCCCTTCTGCCGGCCGGTTTGTCTGCATCCAGTCCATCCCCTGCCCCCCCCACCGCTGTTGCAACGCTGCCCCCCCTCCCAACCAACACAGTGATGTATGACTCTGTGTGATCATTCAGAGAGGACTCTGAGGAGAGCTTGATTCCAGGGACAGTGGCTCTGAGAAGCTCAATTCATAGTTCCCCTTCTGTGGCACGCCTGAGCCCTGCTTGAGATGCTGCTGAGTTGGGTCCGCAGGATCCTGTGGTTTCTTTGTCTTCTCCCTGTGAGGAGGCTTCAGTGCAGCCTCTGACCAGCATCACCACTTGTCTGCACTGCACTAAGCAGCTGAAGAAGAGAGAGATTTTATACACTTATCTCTTCTCTCACTTCTGTTATTTCTGTTGTGTCTGTAACAATAACTCCTGCCTCTCTGTAAGTATTATCTCACAGAAAGATGTTGTATCAGCTCTGACAAGAAGCTCAGATACCTAAGCAGTATAGAGTGAGAGTCTCAGAGCTCTAAGTGTTGATGAATTCTGTCAAGGCTGAGAAGGTCTCTCTTACTTGTCTGCAAAAGAAGATGAAAGCATGAGTCTCTGAGATGAAAAAACACCTCAGAATGACTGATCTCAAGAAGAGATCAGTCAGTATCACTGTTGAAAGCACTACAGAGATCAATCACTGATTGAAGAGAATCTCACTTCAGTTGAAGCAGATGACTGAAATGTTTTATAAGTTGATAAGTTGATAATTTCAGCATCTCTTATACTCTTCTACAGTATGCATACTCTTCTACAGTATACATGCTCTTCTGCAGCATGCTCTTCTATAGCATCACAGCACTAACTTCTCAGCAGGCAAAGATATCAGTGTCAGAAACTTCAACAGTGAAGAATGAGTTTGATGAGAGTGTGATTATTGATAAGTAGACTCTAAGATTCTCTCTTTTTACTTTTTCAGTGAGCTGCAGTCTCATTAGAATAGCAGTGACTCACAGATTAATAATATTAATCTTTTTATTAATTTCAAATATTTCTTTTCTCTAACTGCTTCAGGAATTTTACACTTGTATAGTCTCATTAAACTTCTAAAAAACTCTTTGAGAGAAAATAGAAGAAGAGTGCTACAGAGCTCATAAGACATCAGCTCATTATCATGAGATCATCTCTAAAAAAACCCTTTGAGAAAAAATAAGAAGTTTTAAGTAGTATTTCTTACTCAACATCTCTGATGTGTAATAAGATGATCTTTACTAGTCATCTCATAGCTTGCAATCTCTTTCTTAGCATTTTTCAAATACTCAAGTGATTCTCACAAATTCTCTGACAATGAATAATCTTTTCATTTAATGAGATATTGAAGCTTGTCATAATATATTCACTTATTCAATATTTTCTTCACAAGATATTCAGTATCACTCTCAATCTTGATATCATTCAGCTGAGACAGCTCTGCTCTGAGACATTGCTTATAGAACTTCAAATAGAAAATGTGAAAAACAGAATGAATTGATTTCAATTCTGTGAGTAATTTCAACTCATATATCTGCTTATTCATCACTCTTGTTACTGAGAAAGATTCTAGTCATCACTCACTGAGCTTCTTATACAGTCTCATTGTCTTGATATTCTTTGCTGAAAGTAGTACTTAATTCTCTATCAAGAACTTCATTGAAAGATGTTTTTAATTATAGTATTTCATCTGCTACTTCTGAGTGTAGTGAATGCTTTTCATCATCTTCTCATGAATTTTATTCAAAAATTCCAATCTTACTTTTACTTCTGACACTGAGAGATACTCTGTTCTCTGTATCTGTTTAACATTCTGACTGTTTATTTCTCTCTTTGAAATGTCATCTGTGATATCACTGAGTAATGAAGAATTATATTTATAATAAGTATAGAAGAGAGATATCTTTAAGATTGCATTTTTTGTATTGTTATATACAAATTCAGCAGTTAGAAGATGTTTAGATCAATCATTCTGATAATATGAATAGAATGCTTAAAGATGCTGTTCTAGTATCTGATTCTGATATTCAGTCTGATCATCTGTCTGCGGATGAAATGCAGTACTGAGGAGATGTCTTATCATAAGATAATAGCAAAAAGCTGATCAGTATTTGCTGATGAAGAGAGATTCTTGATCTGTTATCAACAATTTCAAAGCACTATGATTATGAATAATGATATCTAAAAACAGATCAGTCAATTCAGAGACTTTAACCTTTTTATAAGTAGAGATATATTTAGTCATCTTTGTGAAACAGTTAATAATGATCAAAATTGAGTCATATTCTTTAACTCTTATTAACTTCAGTAGATTAACTATGAAATTCATTGATAGATTCTGTTATAAGCTCTTTGAAACAGGCAGTGATATCAACTCACTGTATTACTTATGCTGTGAGATCTTTATTCTTTGACAGACATCATAAGTCTTGATATACTCTTTGACATCTGTCTGAAGCTTGTCTCAAATGTATTTATATTTTAGAAGCTTCTCAGTCTTCTCTAGCCTGAAGTGCTCTGTATGAGAATCATTATAATGAATTCTCAATAACTTCTGACACACTGCTCTGCTATGAGAGATGAAGACTGAATTATTCAGCAGTAGAAGTTCATATTCTTCTAGTTATCAGTGACTTGATTTCTTAGCAGTATCACTTCACTCAGAGCCTGTCTCTTTCAAGTTCAAACTGAATTCTTTCTTTTTCAACTTCTGAATTCAAGCTGCAGTAGAGATGTCCTTCTTCTGTAACTTATCAATGAATTTCAAAAGTAGTTGAGTTAAAAGGTTGTAGACTATTTCATTCTTTGTCAATTCAATGATAGTAAGATATGATATAAGAAGCTCATGATCTTCAGTGTCAGTTCTCTGCAGGGACTCAGGTTTTCTTCTACCTTCTATACTGAATCACACAGCTGTCTTACCAGCACTGTTTCTGAGCTTCAGAGAATCTCAATCCTCTGCAGTCAGCTTCTTCTGCAGTGATGACAGAGATTCTTTTATAGAATTCTTCTCTGCATCAATGATATTATAATCAGGCCACTTAGACAGTGTATTGATGAGGTTAAGCTGACCTGAACAGTATTGAATATAGAAATCATACTCTGAAAGCAGCTTCATTCACCTGACTTGACATTCTGTCAAGCTCTTTGTTGTCAAGAAGTAACACAGATTTGTATAATCAGTGAGAACTTGCACTGAATACTTACTATTCTGAAGATAATATCACCAGATCTTAAAGGATTTGACAATTGCTAACATCTCTTGATCATGAATATCATATCTTCTCTGCATGAGCAATAACTTCTTGAAGAAGAAGATCACTGATCTTCATTCACAGTGTCTTATAGACTTCATGAAAAAGCCTTCTCTCACAGACATTTCATTGTCTGTATTCTCAGAGGTGATTATTCTCTGATTCTTTCAATGTTGAAAGGTCTTCAGTGTCAACTGTGAAAAGATTCCACAGATCTCATTCTCAGATACATCAGTCTCACACTGACTGAGTAAGTCAGGATTAAAATGATTCAGCATTATGACATCTGTAAAAGCTTGTTTCAATTCTGCAAATGCCTGCATGATATCTTGAGTGAGGATAAATAGTTCTATTTTTCTATCTTTCACACTTCTCTTTAACAGATCTATAAGGGGGACAGTAATCTGTGAATATGCATAGATGAATCATCTGTAGAAGTTCACAAATTCTAGAAACACCTGCACCTTGCGGTACATCCACAGCACTGGCCAGTTCTCAATGATGAAGACTCAGCTCCTGTTCATTGAAATGCTGTTCATCTCAACAATATAATCTAAGAAATCAATCTTCTGCATGTAGAATGAGCATTTTTCAGTGTTTGCATAGAGTTAATACTGTCTCAAGCAACTCAACACTTCTTAAACATGAGTATCATGTTCTTTCTCTGTTTTCAAGAAGATTAGAATGTCATCCAGGTATACTATGCAGAAGACATTAACAAGGCCCTGCAGTGTCTCATTTATATAGGTCTGAAAGATGGCTGAAGTATTACAAAGATCAAAAGATAAAACAAGATATTCAAAATTACTGTACTTAGTATGAAAAGCTGTTTTTCAAACATTGTCTTCATTAACTCTGATTCTATGATAGACATTCTGTATATCAATCTTGATGAATATCTTTGCTTCAGATAATTGATCAATCATCTCATTAATTAATGATAATGAATAGTGATTCTTAACTGTCATCTTATTGAGACCTCTGTAGTCTATGCATAGACATAGCCTACTGTCTTTCTTAAGCACAAAGAGTATAGATGTCCCTGTTAGACTCTTTGATAAATATATTCAGTTCTTTGATTGTGCTTCTTTAAGATATTTGTGCAGAATATTCAATTCCTTTACAGACAAGTTGTACAGGGGCCTGTACAGCACTGTTACATCATCTTCAAGATGAATCTTATATCACATCTTGATGTCAGAAAACTTCACTGCTTCTCTTTCTAAAAAGACATTCTTATAATCTGTAAAGAGATGTTGTGTACATTCATCTTCAATGATGAATACTGCTGCTAATCTTGCAGTGAGAATGATGACTTTTTCACCTGTTCTCAAGTCTCAGTCATCTGTTACATAGTATATCAACTCTATCTTTTTCTCAAGATTCTTTTGATGGAACTCTTCAGATTTCTCTATCACTGTCTCTTTATCAGTGAGGTGGTACTGTCATGTCTGAGTAACTCAGTCAATGAGAGAATTGTTTTCTCTCAATCACAGAAGATCTAGAATAACATTCTCATCTATGATATTGACTGTGTGAAGGAGCAGACTGCTTTTCTTGAAGGTTTCTTCTGAGTCTGTGATCACACACTTCACTTGAATTATGTCAAAACAATGACATTTCATTTCATTGATAAATTTCACATGATCTGACAGACTTATCTTCTTTCAACCCTTCATCAAAGAAAAGAAATAGAATATGAAGTTAACATTCATCTCAGAGTTGAGTAGACATCTCATTGATATCTTCTCAATCAGAGTATGCATTGTGATTGTAACATGAACTCAGAGACATGAGAATTATCAATTCTTCATTTCTTTCTCTTCTTTATCTTCCGTGAATACATTTGTCAGAAGAGAAGTTAACTTTGAGAAGATGTCTTCTCAGTTTCTTCTCTTCTTCAGCTTCTTGTAATCACTGACATAGTGATCATTAGCTCTGCAGTTAAAACAGAGATCTTTATCAAATCTTTTTTGATATTTCTTCATAGTGAGTGAAGAATCAGAATACTTGAAATTCTTCTTTACTTTCTCTACACTGAAGTCATCACAGCACTGTTTAGATCCTGTTATTGATTACTTAGAAGAGATCTTGTTGATCTTTTTCTCAGAGAATTGATTATTCAAATAGATCTGAGAAGTCAGGTTGACAAGCTCAGTGTGATTGATTGATGAACTCTGATACTGTAATATTATTGTCTGCACCTTGTGAGTCAGCTTTGTGAGATAAAGCTGTGTCTTTAATTGATTCAAATCATCAGTCAATTTCTCTCAATATTCTTCAAATCTTGCATTGAAATCAGAAGAATTCTCATTATCTTGTTAA